AGACTTATGACTTTCTTATTCATATTATTAATCTGTATTGTATAGTTAGGCTATTTTACTTCCAGTCTCCAACTGACATTTCCTTTATAGGCATATACTGAAATGATTTTCTCTAATAAAATAAAGAACATCTCCTATGTGGATTTTAAATTTCCCTTATTAAATATTTATATTTTCAAAATGTCTTTATTTAATTGAGTGAGGTTCTTGGTGCCATTTCAAAATAACCTCAGATGGTAGGTGTAATGACATATCAAAGATTTGACCTTTAGCATTTTAGGATTCTATTTATCTGCATTTCCTCTGCATTCATTTAGTCTTAATTTGTATGCTGTTTATTCTGCATGACTTAATTAGTTAGGTATACTTGGCATAAGATTCATTATCAAAAAGAAAGTATCTATGAGTACATGTTATTTCTATACAATTTTACTAGTGGTTATAACTTTTTTCATGTCAGTTGTGACAAGAATAGTCTTTATATAAGGCTGATTGATATTTGCACAAACGTCATTCAATCTCATTAGGTGCTTAAGCAGAATAGACCTAGAATCTACACAGTGATGCTCATTCCCCAAGTTATCACTCTTTTTGCAGTAATCCTAATCTGGTTTATAACATTCCTATGGTTTTGGTATTTATTTATTTTCTAATTCTCTGCTATTCCTTTTTTCCAAAATTGAATATACTATTTACACTATTATAATGTAAGTAATATCTTGCAGTATCTTTTTATAATATTCAGTAATGATAATCAAGCTATGAGTAGTTTTAATATAGAGCATATCTAGAATAATTATGAATTATATATTTGTGTGATTGTATAGATTGTTATGTATGCACATAAATATGAGGAAACACATATGAATATATACAAATGTATGTGTCTATCTGTAGCCATATGTTTATGCATGTTTATGTGTGCTGCATGTATACAAATATCTCCAGCTTTTTGAAAGTTTGCATACTCCACTTTTACAAAAGACATTATTAACTGGTTTTTATCTGATCAAAAGAAATCCAGGGAGAAATAAAAAAACTTATAAAAAAATTCACTTAAAAAAAAAACCCAGCAAACCCACCTAGCATGAAACTAATATTCAACATTTGTTTTGAAGCCAGTTGTTAAAGGAGACATACACCCTGGTAGTGAAAGTGGGGAACTTCATTCAGGCTCAGTCGAGACACTGTAGATTTGAATACAGTATCCATGAACACCATGTGTCACTGTTATTTTAGGTTTTACATGCTATTTCTATTATTTGGTAGGTTATTTTTCTGAGATTACTCACAAGTGTTTCCTATATAAATTAATGATAATTGCCTTATTGAACACCACTTCAGCTTATTAAAAGCTTCATGGAAATACTCAACTTTCACATAGCAGAGAAAACATATTCATATGTAAAGTAAAGCACAAAGGGATACTTCTATATATAACCAGATACCATGTGGGATTGTTGTTTGGTTTTTTAAAGTTTTTATTATTTCATGTGTGTGTGTGCTGTCAAATCTGATCTGACTGGTACACGAGGAGATTGCCCCTCCTTCTGCAGCAGAGCCTCTGGTGAATTTGAACCATGTACCTCTATGATTGCAGTGCAGCTTCTTGCCACTAGGCCACTAGAGCTCCCTAAATGTGGGATTGTTTTACTGATTTTTGGGAGGGTGGGGTTTGAAGACTATAGTCTTGTGGAGCAGCTCAATCCATTGGCACAATATAGTTCACAAATACAAGGCTATATACATCTTATTTGGTGAATAGAGTCTGAAGTCTTAAGTGATTCTGAATGGCCATCTAAGATAAAATGATTCATCATTGTGTTGAGAACACAAGAGAAGGAAGAAAAAGACTCAAAGAGGAAACTAATCTCAAGAGGACTAATAATCTGCACCAACCAAAATATCACCTATTTGAAACCAGAACTAAATGGTGCCTGGGTACAGCCATTCCTGCCAGGAACTATTCCTAACAAGGATGAATAAATGGTGCCAGATATAGTAGGAGGGGGAAAAATGTAGAACAAAACTCACATTCCTTTTAAAAAGAAAAGGCAACAATGAAATACTACCCTGCATTATAAAACAAGGAACTCATGCAATATTATTCAAAATGGGTGACCCTGGAGGACATTATGCTGAGTGAAATATCTCAGTCATAAAAGGACAAATACTGCATAGTGCCACTGTTGTAGAAAGTGACTGACATCAGGGTTGGGGTAAGACTGAGAAAAACTGGGTAGATTATGTATACTGAATTGAAACAGATGAGGGAAAGAACCGTTTAAAAGTGACAGATGATAGCATATTATGATTATCACAGGAATCCAGAATTAAGGTTGCATAGTGGAGTGCATTTGGGGCGGGGGGGGGGGGCGGGGGGATTGTATACCAACAAAGAAGTTTGTCTTTTGCTTTTCAAGGAGAGGAGCAAACTGGGGGGAGAGGGGTAAAGAAAACAGTGCAACAATGAATGAATGAAAAGCCAAAATCTCTGTAAATGTTCATTAAAATTAATAAAATAAATTTTAAAAAAACACAATAGAAATTTAATTTCTGTGAAACTAAGTCTAAAATAAAGCTGAGAATTTAAGCAAGAAAAAAAAAGGCTAGAATTATCAGACCAATAAGATCAGAGGAATCCCTGAGATTGTCATTATAGGATACCCTTTAAACTTGGAATTTAAATCACAGATCAGCCAAAAAATGTAGATTCACTTATAAAATAAATATCCAAGAATACTGTGTTCCTCTAAATAATCATCTAAATTAAACAGTAAACATTTACCATAGGCCAAAGGGGCGGGGGGTGGGGGGGGACAGGCAGCAAAGCTAGATGAATGGAAACAGAACAAGAAAGGAAATCATGAAGATGCTACCATATTATAGGAAAAGTAACCAATATCATCAAATAAAATATACAGAAATATTAAATTGAAAATGAATTTTCTATGTAAACGTTCACTAAAATTTCAAGACAATATTTTAAAATAATAATTACTATAATGTTACAGTTTTAAAATTATTCTTATTCCTTTAAATATTTCTATATATCCGAGAATAAGTACTCTTTTCTTCCATGTTTTTTCCATATATTATGCATTTTAACATATAGCAGTCAACATATTTAGAGCTCTTTAAAGAAAACTCACTGCCACCGACGTGGTTCTAGCTCCTAGTGACCCTCCATCAGGTTTCCAAGAAGAGAAGACTATAAAGTGTTTCCCTCTTTTCAGAATTATTACATATATTTTCAGTAAAGAAATAATTTTAAAAGGAACATTCTAGACGTAACTCTACTAGAGCAGTGGGGAGTGTGACAAATGTTTGCTCCTCTACTTTAATTGTACTTTGAGCATGGACTCAATGTTTTTCTATCTCTTAATTTCTTAGAACACTCCTGTACTATTTTTATAAACTTTCACCCCTCAGAAGCCCTTAAACACCTTTATTTTATTTATGCCAATTAATTTATCAACAATTATAAGGAAATATTGAAGGTTCTTATCTTTCAAAATTCTTTTGCTCTATTGTTTCATTTTCCTTCTCCCACTTTTGCCCTTTCCCTGCCACAAGAGAACCAGAGACCTTTATTTCTCCTTAGACTTTCAACTCATCTCCTCTGTCACTTTTAGACCCAAATTACCCAGTGTCAGTGGACCACCTCACAATATTTTCTAAACAATACCAGAATTCCACTTCTAAAAAAAAATCTGCTGAATTTGATTATATGATAGTTCTCAATTACAACAAAAGAGATCTATATCCCTTTATACACCAAGGGCATAGGGTTTTTGTTGTTTTGGGGGGTTTTTTTAGAAAGCATTTTATTGTGCTTTTGGGTGAAAGTTACAGAGCAAATTGGTTTTCCATTCAAACGTTCATAACACGTCACCACATTTTAACAGCACCCCTCTCACTTCCTCTCTCTGATTCCCATTTCCATTTCTCCTAGCTTATCTCATCCAGCTTTTCTTTTTTTTTAGATTTTAATGAAAGTTTGTAAAGAACTTGGGTTTCCAATTGTTCATTGTTGCACATTTTCCTCCATGCCCCCTTTCCCCCCAGATCGCTTTTTTTCTTTGGAAAAAAGTTCTTTCATTGTTATACAGTCCCCCACCTCAGACCACTTTACTCTGCAGCGCTTATTCGGGACTCTTGTCATGACAATACCTAATTATATATTCCTTTTATACAGTTCTCTTCCTCGTCTGTTTCAATGCTGTGTACATTATTTATCCCCCTCTCTTCTCTTAGTTTTCCCCCAGCCCCCATGTCAGCCCTGTTTTATAACAATGGCATTATCCATATTTGCCTTTTGTGACTGAGATATTTCACTCAGCATAATGTCCTCCAGGCTCACCCATTTTGAATAATATTTCATGAGTTCCTTTTTTTCAGTGCAGCACAGTATTCCATCGTGTGAATACACCACAGCTTCTCTAGCCATTCGTTTGTTGATGGGCACTTGGGTTGTTTCCAACTCTTTGCTCTTGTGAAGCCACCCTAAACATGGTATGAGCACGTGTCTACTTGGGTGACAGTTTCAGTTTCTTTAGGCTATATTCCCAGTAGTGGTATTGCCAGGCCAAATGGTATTTCTATTTCCAACTTTTTGAGAAAGCTCCATACTGCTTTCCATAGTGATGGCACCATTTTACACCTCCACCAACAGTGAATAAGGGTTCCAGTTTCTCTGCAACATCACCACCATTTGTTGTTTGCTTTTCTTACTGGGGCGAGTGGATATTTCATAGTTGTTTTGATTTGCGTCTCTCTGATAGTTAGGGATTTTGAACATTTCTTCATATTTGTTCACCATCTGAATGTCTTCTTTGGTGAAGTGTCTGTTCATATACTGTAACCATTTTTCAATTGGGTTGTTTATCATGTTGTGGTGAATAATTAATCTTTAAATTACTCTTAAATTATTGAGTTTTTTAATGAAAATTAACTTTTTTTAAAATGATCAGTCAGCTACATTTTTTTTAATTCCTCAGTTTACACAAATCTTTGTCCCAAGAAGAAAATCTGAAGGATCAGTTTAACCATACGCTGAGTACCTATGAAGAAGCTTTAAAAAATAGAGAGAGGATTGTTTCCATCACTCAGCAACAAAATGAAGAACTGGCCACCCAGCTGCAACAAGCTCTGGCCGACCGAGCAAATACGGAATTACAGCTTCAGCATGCCAGAGAGGCCTCCCAGACAGCCAATGAAAAAGTTCAGAAGTAAGTAAAATAGTCTTGCTTTACTTCAAAGGCATAAAATAAATAAAGAATTTAAAAGCTCAATGACTGCCAAACAACATACTATTTATTATCTGTGCCATTGATTGCTTAAGACAAAAAAGTAGATTGGACCAAATTAATTACCTAGATTGCATAACATTACCTGTTTTTGGAGTTAAAAAATTATTTTCTTTGGAATCATTATTGGTTAGGGCAAGCCATTTTATTTGGAAACTCTATCTTTTTATCTGTCTAACTTGATGGGGAAAAGTTACTGGAAAAGGAAAAAAATTCACCTAAACGCATTTCACTTTATGATGATCTAGCTTGAACTGAGATCATCTGTGACCTGTATTTTGAGCAGTACTGTAAGTACACACAATGCAGTATAATAATTTTGACTATTTAACTGAAAGTATTCAGTATTTCTTTTAAGGGCATTTATTCTGTTTATTTTGAAAGGTTTTGCATATGTATAATAATACCAATAAAATTGCATAGCCTGTCAACCTTATGGCAGCTAGCAGAATGTTAACAAGTGGCTTACCAAACAGCAATGTCATGGGTTGATTTATAGGGCTTGAAGATTGTAGTAGAATCTTCTGTGGCAGCTTTACTGTACTAGAACTTGTCATTGTAACTGAGACTTAATAAATTTCTAACAGCATTATATCACTCGCCTTACCACATGGCCAAGACAGAATTTTGCTCAGTGATTTTTCTTCTCAATTTTCATTTCCTCCTAAATTTCCATTTACTCTTCTAAACTTAATACAGTAAGGCTTTCTCTTACCCAAAAATTATTCTTTTTAAAGTCATCAGTAATTTCTAAACTTAAATGACAAATGGAGGGTCTGTGAGGAGAAAGACCATCCACAAGATGGATTGACAGTGCCTACAACTGGGCTCTGGTGGCTTAGTGGTTAGGAGAAGCACCACCAAACCATTGCAGGTGGTTCAAGTCCACAGGCTGCAGCTGCTCCATGGGAGAAAAATGAGTAACTTCTCCTGTGCGATTTACAACCTCTAAACATCTGCTGGAGGGTCGGCTGTGAGCCAATTCCAAGTCGATGACATGCAACAACTGGGCTGAAGCACAGCAGAGACTGTGAGGATGGTACAGGGCCAAGGGATGTGTTGTTCCGTTGGACATAAGGCCATTATGAGTGTGAGCCAACTCTTCAGCATCTAACAAAAACAACAATAAATCCAATGTCCTACTTTTAATCTTAGTTTTATTATATTTAACAAGTTAACAATAACTAAAATGGTCAGATGTCTTCTACTGTTTACCATACTACACGGATTTTAAATTTAGAATTCCTTGAGTGGAAACATAAAAATTGTCTTTAGAAGCCCTGTGATGCAACATCATTAAAGAAAAACAAGATACAGAAAGGAACACAAGAAATATAGCCAATGCATTGCTGTTAGTCATCAAAATAGATGTCAGACGAGACTATAAAAATTACATTAGAGTGTCAGAAGCCAAAAACAAAAAAAAAAAATAGAAGAGATGCCACAGTAGAAGAGCTAAAAAGTAGATTACAGAGGATAGCTCAAGAAAACAAAGTAAAATATTATAAAGAAACGTGCAAAAAAGCTGGAGTCAAAGATTAAAAGCAAAGAACTCTCTCAGCATTCTCAAACTGAAAGAACTGACACACAAATTCAAGCCTTGAGTTGCAGTACTGAAAGATGAGCTGAGGAAAATATTAAATGATCCAGGAAGCATCAAAAGAAGATGGAAGGAATACACACAGTCACTGTACCAAAAAGAAGTAGCGAAGAATTCCAGAAAATACCATATAAATAAGAGCCAATAATAATAAAGGAAGAGGGTAAAGCTGCATTAAAGGCATTGGCAAAAAAATAAATATATAAAGTTCCAGGAATTGATATCAATGGACGTGTTTCAACTAACAGATGCTTTGCTGGTGGGCTCACCAGGCTGTGCTAAGAAATCCAGAAGAGAGCACTTTGGTCAACTGAATAGATGAGAACCATATGTGTTCCCATTACCAAGAAAGATGATCCAACAGAACGTGGAAATTCTGGAACAGTATCTTTAATATCACATGCAAGCAAAATATTGCTGAAGATCATTCAAAAATGGCTCAAACAGTATATTGACAGGCAACTGCCAGAAGTTCAAGCAGGATTTAGAAGAGGCTGTGGCACCAGAGGTGTGATTGCTCATATCAGCTGGATCCTGGCTGAAAGCAAAGAATACCAGAAGAATGTCTATCTGTGTTTTACTGAGTATGCATAGGAACTTGACAGTATAGGTCATAACAAACTATGCCCAACTTTGCGAACAATGGGAATCCCAGAACACTTAGTTGTGCTTATACAAAGTCTATTCCTAGATCTAGAAGCTATTGTCTGAACAGACCAACAGAACACTGTACAGTTTAAAATCATAAACCAACGATGTATTCTTTCTCCATTCTTACTCAATCTATGTATACGTAATTCATGAAACTGCACATTATGAAGAGGAATGTAGCATCAGGATTGGAGGAGGACTCATCAACAACCTGCGTTATGCAGATGACACAACCTTGCTTGCTGAAAGTAAGGATGACTTGAACCAATTGCTGCAGAAGATCAAGAAGATCAGCATTCAGTATGGATTACATCTCAACATCAAGAAGACAGAAATTATCACCACCAGGCCAACAGGCACATGACAGATGGGGAAAGAATTGAAGTTGTCCATTATTTCATTTTGCTTGGATCAACAATCAACACTCTTGGTACCAGCAATCAGATTAAGAGACATATTGCTTTGGGAGACTCTGTTGTAGGGCTATATCTAAAATACTGAAAAGCAATGATGTAAGTCTGAAGACTAAAGTGTGTCTGATTTAGGTTATGGTCTTTTCAAACTATTGCTACACATCTGGAGGCTGACTATGAAGAAGGATAACAAAAGAGTTGATGCCTTTGACTAGTGGTGCTGGAGAAGAGTACTCAATGGCTATTGGACTGCCAAAAGAATGAAGATATATTTCTGGGAAAAAGTGCAGCCAAAATGCTCCTTGGAGGCAAAGGTGGTGAAGCTTCATCTCTCATACTCTGGGCATGTTTCTAGAAGAATTTATTCCTTCAAGGGGCAACATCATGCTCGGAAAGGTAGAAGGTCAGTGAAGGAGAGTAAGATTTTCAACGTGATGGATAGACACAGTGAGTACACCAGTGGGCTCACGTGTGTCGGAGTTGATGAGGATGGCACAGGATAGGAAGGAGTTTAGGTCTGTTGTTCGTAGGGTTGCTATGAGTCATACTTAGTGACACCTAACAACAATGACTGGATTTATTCCTTTCAAATACCTTTTGTAGAAAACACAAACAGTGACTGTACACATAGACCTCACCTGATGGACAACAGAGGAATCAGATTGACTACATCTGTGGAAAGAATCCTCAGAGACAACTGTCAGCACTAGGACAGAGAACTAGGCCAGGTACTGACCGTGGAATTGATGGATGGTGGACCATCAATTATGTTCGAGTTCAAATTGAACCTAATGAAAATTAAAACAAGTCCACAAGATATCCCTATTTATTTCCATTCCAAAAAAAGGTGATCCTACAGATTGTGGAAATTATCAAACAATATCACTAATATTCCATGTAAGCAAAATCCTGCTGAAGAGTAGAAAAAAAAATGCCTGGAATAGTACATTGACAGAAAACTATTAGAAATACAAGCTGAATTTAGAAGAGTTTGTAGACCAGAGATATAATTGCCCATGACTCATGGATCTTGGCAGAAAGCAAAGGGTACCAGAGGAATGTCTTATCTATGTTTCATTGGCTATGCAAAGGCATTTAACTGTGTGGATCACAACAATTTGTGGCTAACCTTGAGGAGAATGGGAATCCTAGAACACTTGATTATGCTTATGCAAAACCTATACTTGGATCAAGAAGCAGTCTTCAGAACAGAGGAAGGTCACAAAGGTCCTTAAGCTGAAGGAACTGAAGAAGAAATTGACCTCGAGTTGCAGTACATAAGGTTGCTCAGGGCAGAATATTGAATGATCCAGGAAGCATCAAAAGAAATGGAAAGAGTACACAGAATCACTGCACCAAAAAGAACTGGCTGACACAGAAGAATTTCGTGAAACAACATATGATCAAGAGGCAATGGTGATGATGGAGGACATTCAAGCTGCTCTAAAGGAAATGGCAAAAAACAAGGTCCCAGGAATTGATGGAACACCAATTGACATATTTCACCAAACAGATGATGCCCTGGATATGTTCATTAAGTTATGCCAGGATCTGGAGGACAACTTCTTAGCCAGCTGACTAGAAGAGATCCAAATTCATTCACATTACAAAAAAAGGGTGATCCGACATGTTGTTTGATGTTATGTGTCATCGAGTCGCTTGCGACTCATAGCGACCTTATATACAACAGCCCTAAACCCTGCTCTATCCTGTGCCAATCGTATTGTCTCCCACCCACCCATCCCGATTACCCCAGTCACTGAATCAGTCCACCTCACATGGGTCCTCCCCTCCTGCACTGTCCCTCCACCCTACTAAGCATGATATCCCTCTCCAAGGACCTGTCTCTCCTTACAGCATGTCCAGAGTATGCCAGATGAAGCCCCAGAATCCTTGCCTCCAAGGAGTAGCCTGGTTTAACCCTCTCCAAGATGAACCTGTTTGTTTTCTTGGCAGTCCATGGTACATTCAATACTCTCCTCCAGCACCACAGCTCAAAGGCATCAATTCTCCTTCTATCCTCCCTAGTCATTGTCCAACTCTCTGATGCATAACAAGTGATTGCAAAAACCATGGCCTGTATCAGGTGCACCTCAGTCTCCAGAGAAACACCGTTGCTCTTGAGTACTTTAGAATGTTCCCTAACAGCAGACTTTCCCATCGCAATACGTTTTTTTATTTCCTGGCTGCTGGTGCCAAGAGTGTTGACCGTGGAGCCGAGCAAACTGAAGCTGTGAACAATCTCAATCTTTTCGCCA